TTGGAGAGTCTTTCAACCGACCCTTGAACAACGTTCGATGGAAATCGTATGCAATCAGAGTTATCTCGTTCAAGTTGGCATTCAACCAGAAAGTACATGCTGTGGAATGTCCCCGCTCCTTGGAGGTAATTAGGTTCGGAGATCGTTTTGCCGAGTGTGAGTCGCTTTCTCGCACGCAGTGGCCGCCCACACTACTCGAGCTCGAGGTAGGGGGGGGGATGGGCCCAGGATTCCAACGTATAACTTTGCCGCAGAGCCTGCAGAAGTTGGTGCTTGGGGGCGAGTTTAATGGAAAGTTTCGCCGTGTTCAGTTGCCACCTCGGCTGCAATCGCTTGTCTTCGGACGAAAGTACGCCCAGGCCATTTGTGGTCGACAGTCATGGCCTCGAACCCTCAAGGAGATGTCATTTGGGGCGAGCTACAGGGAGGACCTAGGCCGAATTACGTGGCCTTCAGCTATAGTCGATCTGCGGTTTGAGGGGATGTCTGAAGATGACAACTTCGTTAAAAACTGCGTGTGGCCAAAGTCAGTGGAGAGGGTACATTTGCGGGGGGGGGTGGTCGTGACTCGCTCACCCTAGTGACAAGGGGAGCCTTTCCTTCTTGGAAAAACAAGTACGTGTATCACGTCAAGTGAGTAGGTAGCTCGGGGTTTGTAGTAGGACAGACCACCCGGGCCCCCCAGGAGACGGACGGAGGGGGTAGCCAATGTCAATCGCGTGCTAGCGTGCGTTCGTACAAGTTTTTTTTCCCCAATAGTGTTGTTGCAATGGTCTAAGGCTTGTTCATGGCCACTTGCTTGGTCGAGATTACGGGACTAGACTTGTCATATGACCACCATAGGGGGGTCATGTAGCGTTTTGCGTTCTTAATGTACAACGATTGCCTGTTAGACGATATTTTTTTGTGTTAGGGTATTTCATTCGCATACCGCACGCATTGTTCGACCCTGACTCAAATGCTCACCTCGAGCCAAATACAGCAGCGCTGCGGCTCCATACAGTGCAAATCTAGTGGGGGGATCCAGCATCGTGCGCTAGGGAGTGTATGAACCACTTTCTCACACCACACCAGGTTGGTTCGGGCAGATTAAACCTTGTGTGGCCGACACAAGTCAGCCGTGACGGTTGCCTGTCTGTCTCACCATGGGCGGGAAGGCCGGTCGGGTGAACTGAGCAAGAGGGTCCTGCGTGCTGCCAGCTCGCCACGCTTTGTTCAGTGTTTTTCGTTTGTTTGTGATTTTTTGGCTGGTCGAGTGGCCGCTCGTTGTACACTACACGACCGCCCGACCGACCCAACCCTACCCTACCCTACCCAAAACCCAACCCTTTACCCAATCCAACGGCGACGAACGACGAAGAGACGGTGGCTAAGCCTCGTCGGCGGCGACCCAACCCCAACCCAACCCCAACCCAGCACAACACAACCGTACCAAACCAAACCAACCCCCCCCGAGACCGAACCCAGACGGCCAACACGGACCAATCCAACCCGACCCAACCCAATTTGTTCAACCCAACAGGATACGGTCGGTCGGGTAAAGACGAGACCATCAAAACACCTAGAGCAAGAACACAACACCCAAAATCCGCCCGATCCCAAGTGAACCGACTGCATTATGCAGGGCGGCACTTTCAACAACCAGGACACCCCAATGAAGACCTCTCCACCTAACCACACAGCAATTTGGCAACGCGCAAAAATACTACGCCACAAACATGTAGTACATAGGAACGTGACCCGCAGGAGACGAGCGACCACGAAGAAGTCCGTTCGAATCAGGCCGCCCGATCGACGGCTAAACCGACCGACGACCGACCGTCCGACCGACCGAACCAAACCCTACTCTACCCTATACCCTACACACAAACCAACCCCAACCCTACACCTACCCCAACCAGTCCGAACCATCGACCGACCGACTGACCCGACCCACACACTACACCCCAACCTAACCCAACCCAACCCAAAAAAAAACCAGACCAACCGACCGACCAAATCCACCCTACCTACCCCTCCCTACCCCACCCTACACAACACTAAGCAACCCGCAACCCAACCATAACCCAACCGACCTAACGACCGACCGACCGATCCAACCCATACTACCTCCAACGTAGCCCAAACCAACAAAACACCCAATGCGACCAACCAAACGACCAAGGGCACCCAACCCTACACCACACTGCACCACCCTGCCCTCGCCAATAACAAAACCCAACCCAACCCCAACCCAACCGACCGACCGAGCCAACCCACACTACCCCCAACCAAACTCCAATCCGACACCAAAACACAACCCTACCAACCAAGCGACCAAACCCCCCCAACAACCCTACCCAACCCAACACAAAACCCAACCCAAACCCAACTCTAACCCGAACAACCGACCGATACTCAACCCACCATGCTCCCAACCAAACACAACCCCACCCCAAAACGCAACCCGAGCAACCGACCGACCAAGCCCACCCTACCACCAAGCCAACCTTACTCTAAACTACCGTACGCTACCTACCCTACGCTACCTAACCCACAACCCAACAAAAAACACAGAAACCAACACCAACCCCACAGACCGACCGACCGAGCCAACCCACACAACCCCCCTACACAACCCAACTCCTAACCCTAACCAACACCAACTCTAACCCGAACAACCTACCGAGACTCAATCCACCCTGCCTCCTACCCAATCCCAACCCGACCCCGAAACGCAACCCGAGCAACCGACCGACCAAGGCCACACTATCAACAACCCAACCTAACCCCGACCCTACCCTACACTACCCTACGCTACACCACCCCTAACCCAACACAATACACAGAAACCAACACCAACACAACCGACCGGCCGACCGACCGACCAACCGACCGACCGAGCCAACTCACCCTATCTCGAACCCAACCCAATCCGCCCCAAAACACAACCCGACCGACCGACCGACCGACCGACCCTACACACCCTACTTTACACCCTACCTTATCATACCCTACACTACCCCGCCCTACCCAACCGAACACAAAAACAAACACAACTCGACCCCAAAACACAACCCGACCAACCCACGGACCGACAGACCGACCGACCGACCCGACCCG